TTGGCCGGGGCCAGGCTTGAACCCGCCACCCCTGGTATATGGGGTCAGCACCCTACTCCTTGAGCCATGGGTGCTGCCCCACACTTTATTCTTTTTAACTGCTGCATAATATTCCAAAGGGTGATGTTTGCCATAATTTAGCCATAATCATTTCCCATCGATATTTAGAATGTCTTTAATTATCAATTGTAATAGTTTTGGTGACAAATAAACATACTTAAAGATGATTGGTTACCTTAATTATTTAGTTACATTTTCTTCTTTTTTTTTTTTTTTAAGATAGGGTCTTGTTCCTTCTCCCAGCCCAGAGTGCAGTGGTACAATACAGCTCACAGCAGCCTTAAACTCTTGGGCTCAGTTTAATGATGAAAATAACCCAATTTACAAATGGGCAGAGTCTGAACAGACATTTCTTCAAAGCAGATATGCAGATGCCAGTAAGGACATGTCGAGACGGTCAGCAATATTAGTCTTTAGGGAGATGTCAATCAAATCCACAGTGAGGGCCCACTAGGATAAGGTGGGAGCATCCTTGGTCTTAGGAGGTTCAGACCATTCTGGTCAACATAGAGAGACCCTGTATCCAAAAAAACAAAACAAAGCGAAAGATGGACAGTAACAGGTGTTGGTGAGGATGTAGAGAAATCAGAACTCTTATCCATTGCTGGTGGAAATTGAAATTGGAGCTACTGCTACTGGCAGGTCCTCAACAGGTTAAACGTGGAGTTACCACATGACCCAGCAGTTTCATTCTGAGGTGTATATTTAAGAGATACGAAAACATACGTTCACACAAAAGTTCTATGTGAATGTTCATAGCAACATTATTCGTAGTATACCAGAAGTCCATCAGCTGAAGGATGGATCAATGAAATGTGGTTTATCTGTACTATGGAATATTATTCAGCAATAAAAGGAGTGAAGTACTGATATGTGGGACAACATGGATGGACCTGGGAAACATGCTAGGGGAAGGAGCCAGCCACATTTACACAGTGCTGCTCGTGTAATGCCCAGAGTAGGTCAGTCTGCAGAGACTAAAGTTAGATTTGTGTTTGCCAGAGTGTAGGGGAAGGAGGAATGGGCGTGCGTGCTCATGAGCACAGGTTTCTTTTGGGGGTGATGAAAATATTTTGGAATTAGTGGTGATAGTTGTAAATCTCTGAATATACTGAAAATCACTGAACTGTACACTTTAAAGTAGTAAGTTTTATGGTTTGTATATTTTATTTATTTATTTTTTGAGACAGTCTTACTGTGGCACCCTTGGTAGAGTGCTGTGGTGTCACAGCTCACAGCAACCTCAAACTCTTGAGCTCAAGTGATTCTCTTGCCTCAGCCTGCCTAGTAGCTGGGACTACAGGCACCTGCCACACGCCTGGCTATTTTTTGTTCTTGTTGTTGTTGCAGTTGTCATTGTTGTTTAGCTGGCCCAGGCCAGGTTCCAACCTGCCAGCCTCGGATAACCACTGCCACTGCTGCCGAGCCCTATTTTCTGTCTTTTAATGACTTTGTAAGCCGTTGGTATTAGGGTTAGGCTGGCTTCATAAAATGAGTTAGGAAGTTTTTTTTTCTTTTTCTATTCTCTGGCAGGTTATTTGGTGAAATTTACTGTTAAGCCATTTATACCTGGGATTATCTTTGTGGGAAGGTTTTAAATTTCTTTAATGGCAGACTGGAGTCGGAGGCCCAGAGCCTGGCCTTGTCCCCGTGAGGGAGACCTTTCTTTAGCACTCTTGCCCCCTCGAGCTCAGTGAATTCCCACCAGGTGCCCCTCGCTCCTGGACTTCAAATTCTATAGAGAGAGATGGAGAGACTATATTAGAGATATTTTTGGAAGGAATTGGTCTATGCAATGCCAGTTTGGAATCTTCTGGAAAGTTTAATGTTTTTACTGGGAGATTTAAAGAAAATAAAAGGTCTACAATATTTTTAAGATTTTTTTTTTTTTTTCTGTTAAGCCCCACAAACTGACCATATCTGCCTCCATGATCTGTCAGGAGGGAGAATATCCATGTTTTCCTCAGTCTTCAGCGAGGTGATTGAGAAGATGGAAGGAGGGATTTTTTTTTTTTAATTCCCCTCCTTTGTAACAGAATGTTGCCACCACAACTTCCTCGGGATCAGTGGGCTGTGTTTGTATCTGTGTCCCAGCTTCTATTGTAGAAAATAACATTGTAAGGAAAAATGAGCCTAATGTTAGTATCTTGGTTTGGGGAAAAAAATTAAATATTGTGGATTTTGTTTGTCTTGCTGAAAAAAAAGTCTTTAATAGATATAGAACTATCATATTTTTTGTTGTATTAGATATGGTATAATGTACATTTAAAAACATTGTCTGGCTCTGTTTATTATAATTCATTTTTAAAGTTTTGTTTTTTTTCTTTCTGGCAGTTTTTTGCTGGGGCTAGGTTTGAACCCGCCACCTCCAGCATATGGGGCCAGCGCCCTACTCCTTTGAGCCACAGGCGCTGCCCCATTTTTAAAGTTTTTAAAATTTAAAATTTATTGGTATAAATTATAATGATGTATCCTTTTTCATTTCTGATATGAGTTACCGGTATATTTTCTTCCTTTCTTTTCTTTTTCTTTTTTTGGATCTTTTTTTTTTTTTTGGAGACAGAGCCTCAAGCTGAGCCCCTGGGTAGAGTGCTGTGGCTTCACTGCTCACAGCAACCTCCAACTCCTGGGCTCAAGGGAGTCTCCTGCCTCCGCCTCCCAAGCAGCTGGGACCACAGGTGCCCGCCACAACGCCCGGCTATTTTTTGGTTGCAGCCGTCATTGTTGTTTAGTGGGTCCGGGCTGGGGATTCGAACCCACCACCTTAGGTGTACGTGGCTGGCGCCTTAGCCGGCTGAGCTATAGGTGCTGAGCCTGCTCTTCTTTTTTTCTTTTCTTTCTTTCCTGTTGTTTTCCAGCTGCTTGGGTTGGATGATTTGAGTGTTGTTTTTTTTATTTTAGCCTTTCTTCTAATATATACCTTCATATATGTATATATTCTTTCTGTGTATGATTTTGGTGGTATTTTTGGATTATCTGAAATTTTTATTTGGTATGAAATATTTTCTGATTAACATAGGGAATTCTTCAACTCTTCTTTACATTTTTGCAACTGATTTCTAGCATAATTCCATGTTACTTGAAAGTAAATTGTAGCTGGGTACAGTGGCGTGCCCATGTAGTCCCTGGTACTCTGGAGACTGAGGCAGGATTGCTCAAGCCTAGTAGTTCTGGGCTGTAGTGTGCCGTAGCAAACAGGTGTCTGTGCTAAATTGGGCATTAATGTGACCTCCTGATTGCCTAAGGAGGGTAAAGTGCTCAGGTAGGTAACTGAGCAGATCAAAACTGATCATTAGTGGAATGGCACCTGTTAATAGCCACTAAACTTCAGCCTGGGCAAAACAGTAAGACCCTGTCTCTATTAAAAAAAATAAATTGTAATTATGTCAAATTGTGTTTATTACATAGCTCAAATCTTCCACATCCTTCTCTCCCATCCTCCCCATCTCCTGTTCTTTCTCCTTCTCCCCTCCTCATTTTTTTTGGTGGAGGGCCTCTTTGTAGTAATAGTTACAGAGAAAAGAGTTGTATTTGAATTTTACATACTTTTTTCAAAATTAAACTTTGAGATACA